AATTTCCTACAGCAATATAAAAAAAAATATATTATCGTGACCAGCACTAGCGAATGCGGGATGGTGGGAAAAAAGTGACGAAAACATCTATTTAAAGAAAACAGAAATGTAGGGATAATTCATCCTCATACACGAATTTCCTACAGCAATATAAAAAACTCTGGTGCGCGCAACACACAACTTTCACTTACCACTCTACTTTGAATAAAAATTACTTTCTGGCAATGCTGGTCTATTATAAAATTTTTTGAAGTGCATTTTAAACGGAGCTAAAGCTTAAAGATAACAATATCGACAAAAAAGTGTGTACTTGTCGAGTTATTTGGAATTTAATTTTACAATCCCTCGTAACTTTTTTTCCAGCTTCTTTTCGTTGAAGTATGTTATATAGATAAATTTAAAGGGTGTCGAGAAAGTGACTTTAGCGAAGTTTAGGCGCTGCAGTCTAGCAACGCAGGTTTTTCTGTATTTTTATTTTTTTTCTCCTTTATTAACTTATCAAATTCTTTCAAAAGTTATATTTAGCATTTTTTTTTAACTCTGAATAATGTGAAATGATTAAATTTTTAATATAAACCATATTAAAGGTACTTTAGAGGAATACGCATATGAACATTGGGCATTTAAGCCCTGTAAAGTGACATCAATGAGGATAAGACCTAACTGATATTAAAGACCACTTAATTATACATTGATACACCGAGTTTAATCAAGATCGTTAGAGCCGTTTTTGAGAAAATTATAAAAATGTGTTTCAGCGTTGATATAAAGTGGCACTTCCGGTTAGCCGATTTCGAAGAAAAAGTTGCTGTCGCATCTAATGCATATACCTATCTTATATATGTAATATCAGTTTCGTACGACTTTTCGTTTTTGAGCTAGACTGCTAACATACAGACACACAGACCATTTTTCGGGACTTTATCCTTTCGACTCAGGGTACCTCAAAACGTGTATTTCCGTTGAAAACTCAGATTCAAAAATTTTCTCGATCGCAATACTTACTCTGACTATATATTACATATATACGTAAGTGAAAGTAAAAAAGTTATTATCGTGACCAACACTAGCGAATTCTGCCAGGAGAGATGCAGGAAAATGTATTAAAAAACAAAATGAACTTTATTTATTCTTACGAACAACCTTTTATTCGAGCAAAAGAAAATACGGGTTTTCTTCTGGACCCAATTTTTATTCAGTTCCAATAGATCTGGGCGCATTGTCACTTCCTACTTCTTTAATGAACTTTATTATGCAAAATGATAAATCAAAAAAATATCTTTCATTCATCCGTTAGTATTCTCCTCGAAGAAGCCATGCGATTCATAAAACTGGTCACGATAATAATTTGTATATTTCTCATTATAAAGTGTTGTTTTTTCTTAAAATAATTGCTGTTGGAAACATTTCATGAAGGAAGGTATTAATTATTTGATCGGAGCCTGATTATGATCGGAATCTGAAATTATTCCGAGATTATATTATGAGTTTTTTTTCTTAGAGAACTCATTTTCAAGCTATAGGACCATTTATAGTAATCTTTCTCAGATTTTGACAATGTAGGCAAAACTTAGCATTCATTGACCGCGGTTATCAACCATATCGATTAATCAAATTATTAAGTTTAGGAACTCGTTCGACGCACAATTTCACGTTCTTTAATTTCTTAAAGAATACTCTTTTCGCTTTGATGTATTCTTTAGTAGTAATACCTGAAAAAAAAATCTGGTCCTCGCAACACACAACTTTCACTTACCGCTCAACTTTGAATATAAATTATTTTCTGGCCATGTTGGGCTATTATTAATTTTTTTAATTGCATTTTAAATTAAGCTAAAGCAAAAAAATTACAGCTAACAAATCATAAATACCATTAAAATAACAATAGTCCTATTTCTTATATCACCGGTTGATTATGGATTGTAAGATCCGTTGATTGGGGATTGTAGGACTGTTAGTTATTACACTGTTATTTTCCATTGCAAAATTTACTAAAACGGAACTAGGAGATTTGCTTTGTCTGTCATAGACAGATCAAAAGTTGTTACACTAATTATATGTGGATACTGTTGGAATAACACAAAAGGAAATTTCACCAAACTATTCTCTAATTTAATTTTCTGAAAGGTTACATGATGATTTTTCGGAATAAACTAACGATAGATACATAAGTATTTAAATATAATGTCAGATCTAGAGTTATTAAACTGCGGTAAATATATTTAAGGTTATAAACGTATCTATGAAATATTTTTATATTTCACTTCTTTCATACAAGTAAAATGAAATAGTAGTGGGTACTGTTGGAATACCACAAAGTGAAGATTTATCATACAAATTATTCACTAATTTAATTTTCTAAAAAGTTACATGACAATATTTCGGAATAAACAGACGTTGATAGCTATTTATTTAAATATAATAGATCTAGAATTATTAAACTACAGTAAATGTATTTAAGGTTATAAACATATGCTTTATATATCCATGAAATGATTTTATATTTTACTTCTTTCACACAAGTACAATGAAATAGTTTTTTAAACAATGTCATTGCCTTGATTAGGTGGATTTTAAATAATTTTTTCAAACTTAAAAATATTTTAAAAGTTTACATCTAATTAGTAAATTACATTTAATTTTCTTGGAAACATGCGATTAAAGTTAAATATTATTAGTTTCCAAAAAATATTATTTATAATTGTTTCACCCCTCTCCATTACTTTATAGGACCTTGTTGAAGGACCTATTGTTTTTTCCTAAAATTCTCCGCTTTCCAACGATACATTATACGTATGCCTTCTGACTAGTATTTCCGGAGATTCATTTTCGACCTGAATAAGCATTTTTATTTTTTTCTCCTATATTCAGTTATCAAATTCTTTCAAAAGTTATGTTTAGCATTTTTTCGTAACTCTTAATAATGTAAGATAGTTAATTATTTAAAATAATCCATATTAAAGGTACTTTAGAGGAAGACGTATACGAACATTGGGCATTTAAGACCTGTAAAGTGACATCAATGGGGATAAGACCTAAACGATATTAAAAACCATTTAATTATACAATGATACACCGAGTTTAATCATAGTCGTTAGAGCCATTTTTGAGAAAATTGTAAAGTGTGTTTCACTGCTGATATAAAGAGGGACTTTCGGTTAGCTGATTTTTACGAAAAAGTTGCTGTAACATTTCAGGGATATAAAAATGTTAAATATGAAATTTCACTTTCGTTGTTGAGCTAGGCTGCTATCGCACACACACCATTTTGCGGGACTTGGTTAATTGTTCTCAGAAGACCTCAAAGGTTGTATTTCCGTTGAAATCTGAGGTTCGAAAATTTTCATGATCGCAATATTTCCTCTTACTATCTATAAAATAAAATAAAGGTTTTGTCTGTTCATAGAATAGAATCAACCCGTTTCATACATTACAGACACCAAATCTACTTTTAAAAAAAATGTTGTCTGTCTGTAAGTCCGCATTGTCCAACGAAACTTTGTCATGGGTAAGCTCATTAATGGCTAATGGTAGATTTTTGAAATTTTGACATTATATTACGGTTTGCTTGACTTAAAACATAGGCTTCAAATGAAAACCAAATATTGAGTAAAACCAAAGTTATGAATTCTTGAGTAATTTTTCTAGCGATCCCGCTTAGGCAGTTACTTACTTTAATTCTCATCCCAATCAACCCTACCGCGAGCCACATTTAAAAGTTGTACTATTAAACTGACGGAAAAAATTATCACAACTCAACGGGAAAAATCCGAATATCTGTAACGCGTTGTCTCTTAAAACACACTTATTTTTCAACTTCCCGAGCCTAACAAATATTGTCGTATACATTTTTAGGATTAACAAAACGCATTAGCCGGAAATTGAAAAAAAAACGCCAAGTCAAATAAATTTAGTCATATATTTTTTTTATTATTAAATATATGGAATGGCCAATGAAAAAAAGTTTCACCCTAGGTGTTATATTTATAGAAAACGTAAAATACTTCACCCTACTACTTACCTATACTGTTTCGATATAATTGATTGAAACCATATTTTGTTGGGTATTATCACAAACTTGGAATTCGATCAGGCTTCGTATATTGAATTATTTGGATGATGATTTGATACCAACATCTTTGGGTTTTTTCTCTACAGTTTACTTGGAATTAGATCCGGGCTTCGTATTTTGATGATGAATTATTTGAACAACATTTGATACGAATTTCTTTGGGTTTTATAATTTTTTTTCTACAGTTACTTGGTTGTTGACCCAGCTTTGTCTTTTGATGTAGAACTATTGCAATAGAGAATAGGTACCAGCCGCTATTTATTGAACCAAATATTGTGGGTTTTAAAATATTTTCTGAAGACTAAATTCTGTTGTTTTTCTACTGACAAATTGTGCGGGATTTTTGAAATTTTGTTTTACAATATTTTCTACGGGTTGAAAAAAATGCCTTAAAAAAAGCCCAATTTAAGCTCGGTTTCCAAAGCAGCCAAACTTAAGAGGAAAGTTAGGTCGAAAGATCCCCTCAGGAATAGAGCTGTTCAGGTTGAAGTTGATTCAATGCAACACTCCTTCTCTCCTCCCACCCAATTTTATGACGTTAAATTTGGAATCCTCCCCCCCGTAATAAAAAATTCATCTCAAAAAAAGATTCTAAAATTTTAACTATGCACCCGTCAACAGGTAACATAAGCAAGTATCTATATAAATAAAATAAAGGTTTTTTCTGTACATTGAATAGAATCAATCCGTTTCATGACATCTTTCCGCTTCATACATTGCAGACACCAAATCCACTTTTAAAAAATATTTTGTCTTTCTGTTATAAGTTGAGCGGTAAGTGATTTTTTAAAAATATATATTAACACTTTTATCCTGCCTGACATTGGTAATAAATAAGTTTAATCTTATTTATAGTTGGTACTCACGTTAGGCGGATGGATTTCATTGTAATTTGAACATGTAAATATGTACAGTGGTCTGTTTAAGAATTGAGTAAGCCTATTTATAAATGTATTTATATTGCACTAATTATCAAAAAACATTATATCACCAATAAAATTAAATATTTATTGAATATTGAATTTTATATTTTCAAAAATTTAGTTGCCTGATTTTTCCTTAATGTTTATTCCTCTGATTGAGATGTTCGGCAGAAGGACAACATTCGGATTTTAGATCTTTTTGACGAGATGAGGAAAGTTCAATGGGCACATCGGGACAATCGTCTGACGGTATACATTCTTCCTGTTCACCATTCGATTCTTCCTGATATTCATCAGAGGAAGGAAATTGATTTTCATAATCATCTGAATTCGATTCTTCTTGTTCTTGTCGAAGACTTGGAGGAAAGGAGTCAGGACTTTTAGGACGAGTTTGGGTTGGTGGGGCAGAATTATCTTGATATAATTCTGTTCCTTGTCCAAAAGACGATGAACATGTGCTATTAGGAGAAGTTGGTGGGATTGCATAAGGATAATATGGATATGGGCAAGGTGGATAGTATGGTCCAGGAGGAAGTTGGTTTGAACCCTGTCCTGGGGGAGGTTGGAAAAAGAAAGGTGGTGGATAACATGGATAGCATCCAGGTGGAGGGTAATAGGGCTGCGCGGGCATGGGCACAGGGTTTCCTCCTTTTTGTTCAGAATCTAATGGCGAACCATCAGGAGGTGTACTTCCTGGCTGATGCATTTTGCCCGAGTTGGTTTCTTCTTCAACTACAAGTGAATTTTCAACTTCCGGTGAACTTTCGACTACAGGTGAACTTTCAGCTACAGGTGAACTTTCAGCTACAGGTGAACTTTCAGCTACTGGTGAACTTTCAAGTACAGACGATTTTTCAACCACAGACGATTCTTCAACTACAGGCGGTTTACTGGCGGCTGTACTGTCAGAGAGAAGTAATGCTTGTTGAACTGGTCTCTCTGGGGTGTTTGCTGAAGTTCTCCTATGAAATGAAAATTTTATCAAAATATGCGAAATTCATATAAAATGTTTATTACATAAGGAATATTTTGACAGCCAATATTAACAAAAGTTTGTAAGTACAAGAACTAAAATTAGTGAACAGACTTATTTTCAATTTGTTTGTATTTTCTACATATATAATACTTAATATTTTAACTACATTGTCACCCACTGTATCTCTGATATCATCTTTTTATTTCTGTATCTGACAACTTCTTCTTATTTTATATCTATTTATATTTTCAACAAGTTTTGTATCTTTTGTAGCCCTGAAGACGACCTGCAAAGTGGGTCGAAACGTCGGCAAAAATATTTTAATTTAGTATTTATTTGACCGCACCCTCCGATTAGCTCCTTCTCACATATTTTTATTATTTAAGAACTTAATTTTCCATTTTAATTTTTATTGCATTCTCAATTGAATCTTGTAATGTTTAAAAAAAAATTTTTTTGGTTTGTATTTCTGAATATGCCTAATGTCCCGATTGACTCTAAAATCTGAAAAATGAAATTTCCAATAAAATTACACTTGCAAGATTTTGCAGCATGGCTGTCGATTTTCTTTTCAAATTATATTTAATAATTTTATCTTACTTCTATAACATTAGTGTAACATAATTCTATATCAAGTTCATTTCTCCTTTTAGTTAAATGCTAGAAAGATTGGAAGATTATATGATACGATAATTCAATGGATTATTCACAATTGAGGCCTTGGTTTTATCACTCATGACAGAGTGATCTATATCTCAAATAAATTTCAGTCCCATCAGTTGAATAATAAAGAAACTATCAGTATGGCATTGTAGTAACACGACGTATAGAACGAAGTAGAGTGGTCATGGAGGTTATGTGCACAGCTATTCCCACTCCAAAAGGGGTTTTCCTTTATCGTGTTTAACCACCATTTAACATTTAAAATATCTGATTATTTTAATATTTATTTGTTTTTTAAGAAATTTAGTTTCTACAGGATTAAATTGTATTTTATAAAATGTGTAGGAGCGTCCTAGCATTTGGTTTACAATCAGAAAGATGAAGAATATTTTCATCTTTAAGTTATTAATAATCAAGTGTTATCTATCTTTAAATCTTTCTTTAAAAGTGTTATTTATATCCACACTCAAGAAAATGTTTTAACATCAAGTACTTAATCCCTTTTTTCCTACGAGTTTCCAAAAAGAATCGTTAGTCAACAAATATTTAGTACGCGCGAACTATAAGATTGAACCTCCCGTGATGAAATACCTAACTATTGTTTTAAAATCAGTACAAATGAATTGTTCTTTCCATTTTACGAGTGAAAACATATGTATTCAGTATATATCATTACCGTTAGGCCAATAGGTAATTTACGAAAACGGTTACTCCCACAGATTTTATCCTCATATGAAAAATTATATATAATATATATATATATATTTATATTATACGGTCTAAAATTTTTCATATGAGAATAAAATCTGTGGGAGTAACCGTTTTCGTAAATTACAGATTGCCCTAACGGTAATGATATATACTTAATACATATGTTGTACGGTAATGATATATACTTAATATATATGTTAATACATAAAATATATATATATATATTAGCGAATGAAAACGGCGAGGAAGCTATACTGACCTTACTTGGCAGACTTTTTTTTTTTATTGGGTTTAATGGAAAAGACTATGTTATGAATTTTCTGATAAAATTCAGTTTTTTTTTTCTCCATGAATATTTATGGTATTGCTAGTAATATAAATAAAATTGATTTTAATCAGTTGGAATAATTTAGGCGTTTATTTCAATATGTTTGAAAAGTAAATAGCAGTTGTTCGAGGCAAATCAATATTTTAGCAACTTATAAATTGAGGATATGATTGAGTGTTACATAATGAGAAATATAGTAGCAAAGTTTGGTTATTGATTCGTCTTATAAAAATCGCTATGAATGGGGTTGAATGTGCAGCAAGGGTTCTTTTTTTTTCTTAAAACCTCTCTCTCTCCCTCCCTCTGGTACCCGGACCCGAAATCTTAATTATTTCATCATCATAACTTTTATCTGGTTGGCGACCACCTCCTCACCAAAAAGTAAATGCTCTATCTGATTTTTTTATTTTTTTTATTTATTTATATGATATTTACAACTGTATACAAAAAATACATCCAATAAATTCGCACATGGATATAATGACATGAAACACATGTTGAGAAACTACCCATTGGTAGTGCTCTAATAATATGTCTATATTATGAGATCACGTGGCCATCTTTTTTTCAGACGCCTCGGAGGGTTATCAGGAATTGAATAGGAAGCAAGGTTAGAAAGAAGAGGATTGGGATGGTTATGAAGTTTATTATGGAAGGACAGATATCTGGATTGGGCCAAATCTGATACATAAGGAACATTAAGGTCATTATGGATAATTTTATTTGTAACAAAGGAGCATTGAGGATTTTGGATTGTAAGGATTGGATAAGCGAGGAATTTGATGGTTTGGTGGAGCCCCGTAGCTCAACTCCGTAAGTCCAAATAGGCCTTATTACAGTCATGTAAATGAGTCTTTTGTAATTAATTGGAAGGTTAGAGCGTTTGTCTAGTAAGTGTTGTCGAGCTGTTTCTTGTCGTTTCAGTCTGGTATGAGGATTCCAAGTTAAACGTTTGTCCAGATGGAGTCCTAGGTTACTATCTGAACTTATATCTGAAAGTGGGTTCTTCAAGATGGTCGAAAGAGTTCCACAAGGTGATGAACTGGATTTGGCTGTACCCCTAGAACAAATCCTGGTGTGCGGGAAATGGCAAGGCAAAGATTACACGAAAAAAATATTAGTGCTGTTCAAGTTCCATATCAAAGAAACAATACTGGAGGAACTGTAAAGAAAGAAATTTTGAAAATTTTGCACTCAAGCTCAGTCAGATTATTTCAATGACAGTGATACTTATTTGATATTAAATGATGTTTAATATCTAAATATGCGATATTTTAGAACTCATTTTGATCAGTAGAAGGACAGGAAACGTAATAGCTTTGGGCTCCATCCCACTGTGCTATACACGGAAACGAACAGGCAGACGTTGCATCCCGAATGGCTCGGACGCAAGTTAATCATGAGATAAAATCAATTGATTATGTTCCTCGGAGCGAAACTCCAATTAATCGCTCAATGGAATGAAACATGGAGAAGGAACTCCAACAAACTTGCTCTGGTTAAACCCAATAGTGCTAAATGGTGTACGAGTAACAGGAGTTCTAGAATAGAGGAAATTATCCTGTGCCGCCTCAGAATTGGCCACGGCGAATTTTCTCATGGCTACCTTCTCCATGGTCGAGAACCACATACTCCTGGATTGCACACATTATGCAGTTATCCGAAAGAATCTAAACATGCATGATACTATCAGGGACGTGTTGCAGGATGCCGAGAGAGAAGTAAAAATCTTACCGGACTTCTTGAAAACTATTGGATTTTATAATAGAATATGAAAAGCGTGATCGAATTGACGATTGCCAATGACCCTAGCAGGTAGAGGATAAATAAATAACTAGAACAAACAAATAAATAAATAATAAATAATTTTACGTGGCTGACGAGTAATAAAAGTGCTTGGAATCTTTTGCGAGAAATATGAAAAATCGATGAAATAAAGATGATATAGTTCCGGTTAGCCAATTTTGACGAAAAAGTTGTTACATCTCAGGCACATACAATAAATATTAACTTTCTGTTTAGCACGACTTTTCGTTTTTGTTTTATTGATTATGTTTCAAACTTTTCTTTAAAATCACCTCGACTCATCTAGGATATATTTTTATAAAAACTTATAATAATCAGTAATTTAAAGATATATGTCAACAATTGTTACTCTAAAATTACTTACCTAGGAGTAAACAAGAACTTACCTTATGAGCTTATATGTTATGTAGGTAATGGCATAAACACTAACCCATAACTTGGCCCACTGAAACAAAGATTGCATGTTCATCAGTAGTATCAAAATCATATTTATTTAGTAGTTGAAACATGATAAAATTAAAATCGCAATCTATTTTTTTTTCATTTGATAATCTTTATCAAACTAATTATAGTTTCTTACTTATACATAATAGTTTTCTTTGTCGTCATAAAATGTGTGATTTTGACTTTTAACCTATTAAATAAATATAAATTAAAAGAATTGCGATCGTGAACAATTTTGAATCATATTTTTCAACGAAAACTCTCGTTTTAAGATTCCATAAGTTGTGGTCTGTATGCAAGATTGCTTAGAAGGGGGTTTCATGGCGAAAGTTGCGCCATTAAAATTTTTGAGAGGGCACATCATAGGGGCAGATTTTGGGGAGATGAAAGGAGGATGGGGCGATCCTCCTTGCCGGACTAGTTCCCCATACCAGTACCAGTTAATACAGGTATATGGACCTACAAACGATGCCAATATATTCGACAAAGAGCAATTTTATGCAATAGTGGGAGTAGGTATTACCTTTAAAGATAGCATTTACTCAATGCTTGAACAATTTTTTTTATTTTTTTATTTATTTAGACATATAATATTCTGTCACAGGGACAATAATTATATTGATAAATGAACACATTCACACCGTATATACAAAAAAGAAACAAAATTAACAAAAGTAAAATAATAACTAAATAAAAACTATATACAATAAAATTAAAAAAAATAACCTAAATATAAGTAAATTAAAAACATAAAAATACAGTCATACCTATATATATACAATCAGGCGGGGAACCCAAATCCCTGCGCTACTCTCTCAACCACCTCACCGGTGCTAAAGCCGGTGGAGTTTGAGCGAGAGCGCTTTAGCCACATACACTCATGTCTTGAGTGGAGAATCTGGCCATTGCCAGAACTCCAAAATAAATACTATAAAAGATCTCTGGGCCACTGCCGCTTCAACCTTCGAGGAGGGTTGTAAGGATGAGTGGAACTAGATAGGGATTGGGCTAGGGGATTTGGATGATTGATAAGGTTCTGATGGAATTTTGAAAATTTTTCAGGGATAAGGTCAAGGACAAATGGGATATTAAGGTCATGATGTAGGGTTTTGTTGGTTACATAGAACGGAGCATCGGCTATTCTTCGGAGGACTTTGGATTGAAAGGATTGGATGCGTTTGATGTTAGAGAATTTTGCTGTCCCCCAAAGTTCAAGTCCATAGGTCCAAATGGGTTTCAGGATTGTCTTGTAGATCAGTAATTTGTTGTCAATTGAAAGTTGAGATTTTCTGGTCAGTAGTCTGTATAATTGACCGTATCGTCGGTTAAGTTCTTGTCTTTTATGTCTAGTATGTGGATTCCACGTTAGTCTTCGGTCTAAGGTAAAGCCAAGATACCGGACTGTGTCTGAAAAAGGAAGCTGGATGGAGTTAAAGTGGACTAATGGATAGGATCTGCGGTGGAATGTGAAGGTGTTTGCATTTGGATTCGTTTACTTTGATGCGGCATTTATTACACCAGTGCTCAATCTTGGAGAGGTGCCTTTGAAGATTTAAAGATGCTATTTCGGGATCTGAGTTGGATGATAGGATGGCGGTGTCATCAGCAAATGTTGCCAGGAAGGTATTGGGATGGACAGGGATATCGGCGGTAAAAAGGATATAAAGGACGGGGCCCAAGACGCTACCTTGGGGAACACAGTGGAAGGCAGTGGATCAGCTGATGCGAAGGTCGTATTCTGAAATCTCCTCTCAGTTTTTGCCTAATTTTCAGCGGAATCTCTTTGATTATTTACTGAATACAGTTGAAGTGTACACCACAGCTTGAAAAATAGAATCCTTTTTCTTCTCGAATTCTTACTGTCGATATGTAATTGTCAATAGGCAGGGTTCCTTTAATACGGGTATATGCATCTATAGAGGGTGCCGATATATTTAACAAAAAGCAATTTTATGCTGAGCTGGAAAGGGAAACCATTAGAAGCCACGACATAGGAAGAGAAGTAATAATATGGGACACCTAAAAGCTAGGATTGGAAGAGATGATAGTAAATCGCATGGTACAATAGGAATTCATGGAGAGGAAGCAACTAAAAACAGAAATGAACAGGATTCTGTATAGACTCTGATCTATCAATATGCAATACGTTTTCTCCCCTCTCCCCATAAAGATGTGCAAACAAGTAAGATATGAAAGTAATAAGAGGTGCAGTGCTCAGTGCAGAACATTCGCTTCTTGTTGCAGATCCTCGTATTGTTAAGCTGATCAAGAGGAAATCCAAACGTGAAAGGATTGATACGGCGGTACTTCGAGATCATGAGAAAAGAATCTTATATGCTTGCTAGACCATCGACTCTTGTCGATAGATCTGCAAAAGAGTATCGAGGAAATGTGGTCAGATATTAAATGCTGAGACTGCTAAAAATGTATGCACTAAGAAGAAAATCAATATGAGAACTAAAAGAACAGATTGGTGGAGCGAAGAAGTTAAATGTGCAGTGGCGAACAGAAGGAAAGCTTGGAAAGAAGATATGGCAAATAATTCTCAGCAAAACTGGTCTATTTATGTTCATAAGAGTGCGTTATGGATTCAGATTTACAAGAAGGCTCCTCACTCCGCTCTGTGGTAGAAGACGAAAAAGAAGAAGTTTCAGATAGTTTAATACCGTTTTGCGTGCAGGATTGTTTTATATTTTTTCAGATCGGTATTACATTTTCTTTAAGCCGGACCCTTCTGTTTGACGGAATTCATGAAAATACAAGAACCAACTACATGGCAGCTAGTAGCAGTGATAAAAATTGCTTGGACGCATTAAGAGATTAATCATGATGTAGAGATGGTTGACCGTTGATATAATATGAGAAGAAGTTAATCGGGGGGTGCGGTCAAATAAATACTAAATTAAAATATAGAAATTATTTAATTTTTGCCGACGTTTCGACCCACTTTGCAGGTCGTCTTCAGGGCTACAAAAGATACAAAACATTGTGAAAATAAAAAAAAGAATATAAGTAGATATAAAATAAGAAGAAGTTGTCAGATACAGAAATAAAAAGATGATATCAGAGATATAGTGGGTGAACAATGTAGTTAAAATATCAAGTATTACATAAGTGGAAGTTATTATATATGTGGAATAATGTTATCTTATTCTTATTTTAACTTTACTATAACAATACTTATTCAATTTTCAATCTATTTATTCGTTAACATTCATTTTCTTTATCTGTTAACCCACAGTTATCAAATGTAATCTTTATTAGTTTGTTATACACTCATTCCTTATCTTTTATCGCAATCTGTTTACTTTTAACTTACATGCTATATCCTCCTTTATTTTTTTTTTTTTTATTCATACTTATTTTCCATTTCTTTGTATCTTCCACATATATAATACTTGATATTTTAACTACATTGTTCACCCAGTATATCTCTGATATCATCTTTTTATTTCTGTATCTAACTTCTTCTTATTTTATATCTACTTATATTCATTTTTTTATTTTCACAATGTTTTGTATCTTTTGTAGCCCTGAAGACGACCTGCAAAGTGGGTCGAAACGTCGGCAAAAATTAAATAATTACTATATTTTAATTTAGTATTTATTTGACCGCACACCCCGATTAACTCCTTCTCATAAGAGATTAATTATTATGATTCTGTTCTACGTTAAATTTCAACTGCATCTTTAGTTTTGGCAATGTGCTTTACTGATTTTTTACTTAAATAATACATAATAAATTTTTGTATCATATTAAATCAATTTTTTTATTTCCATTTTTCTTATTTATTTTTGTCTCTGAGGACCACATATATATTATATGCATTCATTGCATTTAATAATTACGTACAGCAATATTTGCTAAATTAAAATTATATTTTTCCTATACTAATTACAAATAATTTTTAACTAAAAAAAAATAATGAATGAAACAAAATTATCAGGAATTTCAGACAACATTTTTTTTAATGAATTAACCGAAAAAATAAATAAATTTTGACTGAAATTACCGGTTTTATCCTGATAATTCATCAATCGACTATTTACCAATCTCTAAAAAAAATTAATTACTATAAAAATTAAACCAGTACTGAACCGACGTGTAGTCAGTTTCAGGACCAATGATTGTGCTGGGAGGTGATAGGACCACTTTGTAGAGGATGAGTGTGGCCCAGTAGGGTTTCCTGATCCCAGGTACAAACCGCGGATCATATAATATTAAATAATTTCCTACCATCAGCCAGATTTGAACGCAGAACCTTGAGTATAAGAAGTCAGTACTTTACGTACTGATCTATTCCTCTCTCTCTCTTTATATATATATTATATTTATTTATTTGATATTTTACCATATATACACACACAAAGATACCAAATATCAGATGCTCCATCCAAGATAGTAATATAACCTCATCTTCTGTTACTCAATGAAACCTGAACAACATGTGATAAGTATCATTGGCAAGGCAACACAGCCGGATCTACGGGAGTGGGGGCTTCGCAATGAAGTAGGAATGGCCATAGATAGTCGATATTATCGAAATATCGATGTTTTCTTTCCGCTAGTCGATATTTTACCATTAATAGTATCTACTTCGAAATTATCGACTATTGATATCGTCCCTTCGATGTTTTAATATTTTAATTTAAAAATATATACATACATACTCCTCCAAAAGTCTCCGCCAGTTGGCTCTATCTGTTGCTGCAGCTCTCCAGTTCCTAATGCCGAGGAGATTGTGTGCGTTTAAAAATAAAAATTATAAATATCGTTTACGAGAATTACTAGGAATTAAATATGAATCTGACCGTTACAAAAAAATTATACTTATCTTGCCTGTATCATATAGAATGTTGTGCATAGTAGAGGAAAATATCGATATTTCGATAATATCGACTATTGATTGCCATCCTTAAGTAGAGTTGAATAGCTTTCTCACTCAGTAAACTCAATTTGCCCAAATTCGTTAGTTAGAAGTTTCTCAAACGGGAGATACG